GTGTGTCACATCAGATGGGCATGGTGTGACCACACCCAAACAAGAATACGGTACGGGGTCAGATAGCCAATAGTTTCACATGAATTTAGAATTTACTATATATATTTAGTAAAGTTTTTAAATTAGGCGATTTAGACGCAAATGAAATTAGATAAAAATCTGTTTTGGATTTTAAAAAGAAGAGTGAATTTGCCTTGGGAAGGCAATAATTACTCTTGGAGTAAGCAGCTTGCGATCCGCTGACTCATACTTGTTTCTTGTAAAGACCAAAGGTCAGTGACCTAAAGTACGCTTCCTCAAGCGCTTAGCTACGGCAGTCCCGCTGCAGTGTGGCTACACCATAACATGACGTGGCAGGACTGCCAGTAATAATGCATATTAACTAGGGTTTACTATTGAATTAGAAAATCTTAAGGTTTCAGATATAGGCGGTTCTGCCGGAAAGAAAACAATCCAATACATTTTTCAATTTTGAACTCAAGAGCGTCTTTGCCTTGGTTAAGGCTTTTAATTACTCTTGGAGGTAGCGGATTGTGATCCGCTACAGTCGTATTGGTTTCTGGAAATAACGTAAGGTCGATCACCCCAGCTTAGCTCCCTCTAAGCAAAGAGCTACGGCAGACCCGCTACACTTGGTAGCACTCGTAGTCAATCTACGCCTGAGTTGTTGCACTTGATCCTCTGTGACGATGGAGCAGTTCCTAGGCCATACAGGACGGAATTAACAAGTCAATATCTCTATTTTGCCCTGAAGACTTGCAACACCTTGCTTCGCAAGGATTTAAAGGGATGAGTGCGCCAAGAGGCGTTTCGAATTAAAAAGCTCTGCTAGAGCACCTACAGCAGAAGCTGCCATCGTCGAATGTGTCCATGGCGCCACCGTCGACGACGGATGACTCCTCTCGACCCAGGCAGCTCATGGTGAGCATCAAGAGCTTCGAGGGTAAGGATGGAGAAAACTCCTGCTTTGAGTAAGAGAAGCCAAGATGGCTAGGACATCCGCCATGCTCCAGAACGAGCGACAGCGCGTGTCACCAGTTATCCTTAAGCTCGGGAGCCGAACCCGAGAATAGGCATTAGAGTGTGGTGCTTCTGTTGAAGTGGCGATCTTTTCATGTGCCGCCCGACAAGGTAAAAAGGAATTGGTGGACTTTGTCCAAGCGTTAAGAACTCTCATCGCCGGGATAGTAGCCTACTCTCTCCCCGAGGCGTTTAAAGTGACCATTTCTATGGAGGGTCGCTGACAGAATGGAAGTCTCCCGTGTGTATTCGTCTTCATTTGATGGAGCGATTAATAAGGCAGAATGTAACTTCTAGTCGGCACGACATTGTTGATATAAACATCCTCGGATCTCGTCGAGCAGGCTAAAACCAATGGATCTCAGCTATCCTGTGAAAAGGGAGGAAGAGCTCTGAGCTGCCAAGCAGCGTATAAACAGACAATGTTTTGTTTGTGGATACACCCGTCACCTTCGGACCGGTTTACTCTCTGCTTAAGGCGCGTAAAGTTTTTTCGAGCCGACGTCTCGCTTCTAACCAGTCTGGTTTGTCGCGGAGAAACGAAATGATCCAGTAGGCGCGGGATGCCCTGCTAGGAGATAATTGAGTTTTGCGGAGCCTAAAAGAGGTGGAGGGCAGCAGATCCCAGCCTCGAAGGGCTTCGTGCTCCTGAACATGTAACGTGTATGCAAGCCGGGCTTGCCGTTCGTAAAAGCAACAGTGAGAGTCTTTGATCAACCATGGAAGATCCTGATCGACTCCGGGGTGTCGCGTAATTATGCCCAACGATCGGGAGTCAGCTGTATGCTGAGACGTTGAAAGCGCGGTTGCGTGACACCGTCACTATTCGATTAGCGATAGGGACTTGTGTTACGTTGCCGAGGGTCGCTGTGAAGTTCGATGTCAAGTGTCTTGACGTCGATAGCGTGAATCACTGTTTCAGTCTAAAAACTGGATTCGAGGTATGGTCTCATCTTCGGCATGGCATGGGTGAAATACCATGAGCCGTGGATAGATTGAAGGTCAAAAATCTTATGCGCTACGCGCACGTCTCCTGGTGGAGCTTTGCTGAGTCATGAACCCCCTCTGTTAGAAAGCAGAAGCGCTGTTGGCGCGAGCACTGGACCGGGACGGTTGATTTGCTGGATTTGGAGTATCCGAGCTGTAGAACACCCAAGGTGTATTGTATAAGGGTCCCGAGCATATCTCGAGGGCTGAAAAAAAGTGGCACGTAACTCACTGAGCACTGCTGAAGTATTAAAGCAATTGCCGCATGCCAAGAGTGGCATGGTCGGCCAAAGGCTGAGGCGTCGGGATCGAGGCCCCAGTGATGCACGTGAAATGGCACATAACCCACCGAGCACTACTCATTTGCAAAGCAGTTGCTACATACCAAGGGTGGTATGGTTGAAGGAGGTCTGAGGCATCGAGGATTTGGTTCTTGTGATGCGTGTGGAGTGGCACGTAATAAACTGAGTACTGTTCACGTTTCGAAGCAGTTGCTGCATGCTAAGAGTGGCATGGTCGGACGAGGTTCGAGGCATCCTGGACAAGGCCTTTCTGATATGCGTGGATTGGCACGTTATCAGCTGGACGAAGATTGCAGAAAAAGCAGCTCTTCGTCGGATGTTGTTAATAACATCAAGACTCCGATGGAGCAGAGGGGGATGACGCCGAGCGCGTGTTCCCACCGGTCTCGTTGAAACGTAGAGCCTCTATGGATAGGAGAAGGCGAAGCCATATGTTATCTGCAAGACGCAGAGCGTCGACCCTGACCCAGGCTGTATCTACCGTAGACGATAGCGCACAGCTATATACCCTTGTCAACGGTATGACGGAAGAGAAAGACGGCGATGTCACCCTCGAGGCTTTTCCTGTGGTGGATGCTCTTCTTGCGCTAGATAATACGTCCTTCGAAGGGTTTGTCGGTCCCTAGAAGGTAGGCAATTTAGCCGAGGTGGTCATTATACATCCGATTGAGGAGATTAACTCGCCGTCGCTCCCGAATGAAGCTGTCTTGGCAGACACCACGAGGGTGCTGAGTGCATGAAGTGGATCTTCGAACCGAAGAATCCCTCGGATCCGTATTCTGGTAAAGGAATTTCAAGACGTCGTCTCCAAAGACCCGCCGTCGGTCCTACCTCCGAACTGAGGTGTGCGCCATGAGATCGATCTAGTGCCAAAAACCAAATACTACGTAACACGCCAATGACCACTGCCCAAGGAGTAGTGTGACGTCATTAACGCATTCTTTCGTGTGGGGCACAACACAGGATTGGTGCGTAAGAGTAAGTTTGCCTGTTCGACACCCACGTTTTGTGCCCGGAAGCCTATCGACAAGTGGCATATCGTTCACGCTCAACGCTGCTACTATTCCAGCTCAGACGACGATACCTTGTAAGGATGTTCTCCGGGGCGATATGGGGCTATAGAAAGTACAGTGCAGTCGACTTGGTCGATGGGTATTACCAATTGCTCATGAGAGCGAGTGATATTTGGCTAATAGCAGTGAGTTCTCCGAGCGAGATGCTCCGGGAGTTGCTGGTGATACCCCAAGGGCTGTCGAATGTAACAGCGACATTCAATCGTCTTGTGACGCAGTTGTTCAGGCCCCACCGGGCATATGCACAAACATACATCGACGACATCTTTTCCACATTTCTGCGGGGCACGAGAGGACAGTTGAGAAAAACCGCATGGTCTAATTGAAAGTGGTGCTCGAGTGCATGCGCACGATTAAGTTGTATAGTAATGCCGATAAGTGCATCTTCGGCGCGAAAGAAATCATGTGGCCACTCTTGTAATGCGTTGCATAGAGTTCATCGATTGAAATCATTTGATTGCGATACAGATTCCACCGCTTCATCACACAAAACGTCGGTCCTGGTTTGAGGGGGATCTCATGCTAATGGTCTCTGTTTTTCGGCAGTTTACACGGTACCGCATCGGAAAAAGACATCACGATACTTTTGTTTGATATCAAACCGGACGTTTTTCGTCAAGAATTCCCAGCACTGAGAATGGAAGCGCTCGCTTTAAATCTTTTCATGACTCGAGCTGGAACGGATGTCTTCCGGGGAGATATCTGTCGACCTCACGAAACGAAATACTTGCGTGAATTTGCCCTACTGCGAATCGCGTCATAACCTTGATTTATATATCAATGATAGATCATGTTTTCTCTCGGATCTTGTGAGCAGGTAATATAAATGTGAGAGTGGCGGTATCCACAACCTTCCGAGCATTTTCCACGTCATTAACTTTCCTGGTGTCCTCGGGGATCTGCTTTACCTTAGCAGCTTGATCGATCCACGCGGTAGCAGTATCAACACTCCTTGGCATAGTGGTGTGATCCAGCAATCATATAGTAGTAATTACATATAGAACGTTCGCTTGTGGCCTTATGCGTGCAAGTGGAGACTTCGGCACACTCTGCCTTAATGTGTGTAAAGCGTGATCCTCGACAACACTCGATTTTAACGAGCGATGATCGCGGTCGCATGTTGCATTATGCTCAGTTAAGCATGAATCTTACCTATACACACTCGACGCCAAGATTAACGTAGGTCTTAATTAAGCATGACGTCGGTCTCCCATCCAAGCTGTGCAAGTTTTGTCTGTGCATGCTTCTTCTCGTTTCTCGAGTTTCCCCACTTCGTGATTGCTTAAAGACGTTGCAGGAAATTTCTGCCCTCTGCTTGTGTATTTTTCGCACCAGTGTCTACTACCGGAACAGTGGTCGTACCAATCGGCAGACTCGTCAAATTGTGGTTTATGCAGCTTCTGCACGTATTGATTGAGCAAGCGAAGACCTGCTCGATGGTGAAACGGCTTGCGCTGGCTTCGGTTAGGATATTTTCGCATGTTTGCTGGTTCTAATTGAAATATGGCTTCAAGACCAAGTTCAGAACGATAAAATCTTCATCGTGTTGATTGTCCACATATGTGTTATAGCTACCCAAGCTACGCTTTTTCATTGATACAGTGGCATCCTTGCCAACCTAACAGTCATCTTGGTCGAGGGGGCGTTGCTTTCCTTTTGATATTCTCATATGGATCGCTTCCATTGCGCATTGTTCAGTAAAGCTGCCTAACGCACCGTAGCCCAAATGCCCGGAGAGATGTTCTGCTGGATTACAAGAAGATGGGAGATTCATCACAGCCTTGCGCGGAAACCACAATTTCTCTGTTTTTTTAGATTTCTTAGAGTAAAGTGGCCGACGTATATGCTTGACAGGATCTGGGCCGTTGGCCGTTATTGGCGCCCACGGCACCCTACCAATTTCTGGCAGATCTCGCATCTGAGCACTTGCAAGACGAGGCCTTAAAATGGGTGTGTCCTAATCGCTCATTCCACTGATTGGACATGGAGCAAGGCAATTGTGAGCAACATGCCCAAGCATCTTTTATTGGTCGCAAGATTTCTTGATTTTGCAACGTAATTGGTGGTATTAGCAACCGCGAATAATGGGCCTTCATAACTCATCGTTCGGTCGAACCACGGAAAAAGTGAACATCTGGCTGACGTAGACTGACTTCCTCTATCAGAGAGAACCAATCGCTCCCTTCAACGTTTCGAGTAATCGAGGAATGCTGGGTCTTGATGGAGCTATCCAACAAACACTTAATAAATATTACCTTGCGAGTCATGTCATCAATCGTGTCCTGCACGATACACTCACAAGGTATCGTGCTTGTGACTGTAAGCGTGAACATCATTCTTACCTTGCTTCGATCTGAGAATTCAGATCGTGCTTTAATCTATGAATTCGGCGGCTCGAACGCTACTTTGAAGCGTTTCCTTAATCCACAAATCCAGGAAAAACTGTCAGGATCCTTCAACTTGGGCCTAAATGTATGAGTATTTGCGCGTCCAGCCAAGCCGGTGAGCTTTGTCAGTGGAACACCGAGCGACAACAGCTTCATACTTCGATACGTCGTCGACCTTTAATGTGTCAGCAAATCTGGGCGCTAGGTAGCTGCGAGCGCTAGACATTCTTGCAGGCAATATGGCTCATTCTGCTGAACCACTTACTTGGTCCGAGCGGCAAGTTCTAATTTGTTTTCTTCGATAAAAATGTTTCAAGTTCTTGAAGAACCACCACCTTGCACTGTGAGACGCCCAGATCATTTATATAAACCAAGCGATGGCTGCATTATTCTTGTCGCGGGACAACAAACGCGCTGACGCTCGAACAATGTCTTCAGAGCTTCACTGTGATTTCTTAATCAAAAGAGACTTCTAAGCACAACCTAATGATAGGCCTCCGCAAGCATAGGAGTGATCGTGATTACTGAATTGACCGCAAAATGCTACCAGAGTAACCGAGCTGCTTATTCTATCTCTTTCTTACAATAGTGTGTGTAGGATGTGCCCCACCTGCGGTTTGCTGATGAATAAAATGTATCAAGGAGCCTTTATCCACCATTCAAACGAATGAAAAGTTGCACGACCTTTTGTGCGGTCGACCCTTAGTGAGAAACCTTGTTTGTGCTTACTTTCCTCCTGGGATTATATCGGTGATATACACATAGGCTTATGTCATACTGATATAAAGGAATAGTAATACATCTTAACAGTCGGATACCTCATGTGTATCACTACTTCGGCTCGGCTTAAACAACCTGGTTACACTATTGTAAGTGGTTTAATGCAACTCGCAGCCATTTTGAGCGAGAGCCAAATCATCCACTGTGCTTAGTGCACGAATACGATGCTGGTGGTATCACTTGAAGCGTCTAGCCATCGATCGAGTCGTGATAGAATGCTGTCCTCCTACTGGATAGGCTAGCTTTACAAGCTTTCGTCCATTAATAAGCCCAAATAGATCAAGGAACTGGCTACCATAGACTGGAGGTTGTCATCGCGCACTGGTAATGCAAATCAGCAACCGCCCCAATCAAATAGCGGTGGGAAATCATACAGATCCTACTAAGAGGACAGAAAAATTATGAGAAAAAATCTATCTGAAAGGAAGCACAGCATCGTATTTACTGATGTATTAGACTGAGATCACCAAGTATTCGCCGCACTCCAGACAAAGCAACAGCGATTGACACAGGCGATATCCAAACTAGGGTACCGCAGACGTTCAGTTTCTCCGCAAAAGTGACATTCTCAACGTAAGAACTTTTGAATCGACACATAGGTGTTCGCAGGCGTTATATGCGCGATTGAAATTCAACTTCTCTTGTAAAGTCGAGGGAGACAATTGCTAGCGGGTAATGACTAGGATATGAGAGCGTTTATAGCTGCGATGGCGGCCGATTTTCTTCTCAGACCAGTAATGGTGATCATCGCTATGAAAAATCTTCCTGATGTGTAAGGCTCTTATCAATGTACTTAACGTTACATTGGCGAATAATACTTTGGCGCCGACAAACGTTTCCTTCTATGGATTGATTTAGTAGAATGCAGGGTCTGCAGGAAGATCGCGTGAAGTTAAGATATATATGCTGTTTGATCCGTGGCTTTGTCCTAACAGGACTTGGGAGATCTATTTGAACTGGTGAGATTTTTTTTCAGCGATATGATTGCAGAAATTGAGTACGAGGAGTAGGAGAGCTGGCATTAAGGATTCTATTTATCTTTTGATAAAAGATGATTTTGGCGTGTTGACAAAAAATCTAGCTAGTTGTTACGTGCGAGATGGGCGACCAAGATCTTAAAAGCACACGGTATGCTTAGTAACATAGTGAGAAGACGCAGCCTGTGTGGTGTTGATATTTCATATTGTGGATGCTGCTTTATAGCGTTAGGGCATGCATATTAAAGCCACTTATCGCTTGTCACTCCTAGTTTGTAGACCTCGAGGACGATGCACTATTTTTCTTGTGGACGATATCATTACCATCACAACTTCCTCATCCAGGTAAAGATATTTTCTCTGCAGGGCTTTCAAAAACCCGAATCTCAACATTGGCCCCATTAACGGTTGAAACATAGTATTCTTCTTCCGTTGTTATGAACTTTCTGGATATGCCTTATTATAAAATTTTCAGCGATAGTAAAAGCTTCCAGGCTGGCAATGTTCGGCTCTAGCTCTTTGTCCGTCGGTTCTCTCATCCCATTCGCCTCATTATTGAAGTAAGCTTGTCGAACTAGTTTGACTGCCCGGGACATGTACTAAAGCATTTTATGCTCAATAATAAAAAGAATGCGGTCCTTTCAGACTCGATCCTAGGATTTCTTTCAAGTGAAACAGAGTCTTCGTGCAATTTGCATAAAAAAACAGCGTTCGCTCTAAGATTACGTGTTTACGAATGCACGAAATCTGAATTCGTGCGCTCCCGCCAAAACGGAGCCGAGACAATCAGCACTATGTGTCTAGTTGGCTCAGCTGATCCAAACGTTTATCTCTTAGGATAAATGCTATTCATGGTAATACGTGATTCACACAGTTTACTACATTTTAAACAGAAATGTCAATATCTGCTGACGGCTAGCCGCGCATATACCATCGACCCATCCTATCGTAGTTCCATCGTCCTCATCGATACGATATTCGGTATTTGAGATATTCATAATTATTATTGTGCAATCGGAAAAATGTATAATTGTACCGTGTTGCATCTAATGCATTTGTAGAAATATGAAAGCTGTGAGTAAACAACATCATTGTACTAGTCCCGTTACAGTCAGAAAGTGTGACTAAGTGTCAATGGATAGCTGACGCACAGAAGATCAGTTTGTGCCTCCACCCAGGAGCAGAACATATATTTTCCAAAATGATATGATATATTCATATCTCTTCTTTTGAAAGCGACCTTGTTCGGGAATTGCACTTTTTCTATATACAATATCTTTTATTACTTAAAAATAAAACCAGATTCATTCCACCAAATGAGGCGTGTCCCTCGCCGTCTTCAGTACCATCCTTTTAATACTTTCAAGTAGTGTTATGGGTACGTACCCAATTGGACCGTACGTATTACTATATTATTATACAACCAGCTTAGAGTAAAAAGTATTAAAAAACCTGACTTGGCGTGCATTGGTGACCAAACCTTGTGGGCCGAAAATAACTTGCGGACAAGCTGGCATTGGAACTAGTAAAATAGCTGAGAACTTTAGGTTTGATTAAAGACTGGCTTCAGGCTATAGCGATCACTTCACTCAGTATACATGAGGTCAACTCTATCAAGATCATCTGAAAAAGGTGTAGAGGAAGTGAAATCTGCGCTCGTGTGCTGAAGTTCTGACAAATATTACAGAATCCAAGAGATCTGCACCCATCAAACATCGATGCATGCATACACGATCGTTTATGATGTCATACACTTCTAATGTTACGGAAAACGATCTATAATAGCAATCATATATGATTCTCTCTTTCCTGGCTATTTGAGACGAATGAATTTTTGAGGCGCAATAATATAAACTACCCAACTTTAATTGTTGGAGATATGGCGATATTACAATATATAACGGCAGCAAGTTTGCCTGCTATTTAAGTCGTTTAATGACCGCTTGCACTAAATATCCCCTGTGAAATCATGAGAAAATAAATTTTCTGCTGCTTTACCAGCTGTAAACCAGTCGGTCAAGCAACTGACTGAGCCAATCCATGCCATTGGTCTATCATTGTTTCTTGTGACATGCCTCTAAAGGCTTGACGAAGGAGTATCAGCTGCTAACATGAGCGTCTTCACGGCGCATAATCACTGCTTACCATAAACAAATTCAAATTGTGGCTGAGGTCATTCTAATCAAACCAAGTCATAGCAGTTAAAGTAGTGGCAGCACAACGAAATCCTATTGTCTTCAGGCACAGCCCTTTTTAATGTAGAACAAATGTTTTAATATGCGATTTTATCATACGAAAACAAACAAGTGCTGCCAGGATCTTTTAAGGGTACTCTGCAAATGAATACAACTCACACATATACATCCTCAGCTGTGCACGTTGTAGGCTTAAACTCCTCTTTTTGATCGCAAGACTTAATTTCATCCCAGTCATGATGGGCAAAATCTTGCTTTTGGGTCATAAACCACAATTCCAAGTCCTTCAAATTCCTGGTCCGCTCGTGATAAGATTTCTAAATTGGCAGAAGCAGGCTGATTTAACTTACATGCTGCATACTGTTTTCAATAAATAGTCAACCAAAGTGGCCACCCCTGAACTATTCTTCCAAGTCGATACGAGAGTGGATGTATCCGTCAAAAACGGTACTTGAGCTCTACTTGGTGAAGTGTAATGTAAACATATTTTGGCGTTTAGTTTCCAAGTTCATTTGCTATCTTTAAGCTTGCTGAGCCTGAAAATATTCGTAATCCGCTACACAGAATTCTCAAATTACT